CAATCCCATAGACTCCCCATGTTAAAATGCCCAACTTTACAGCAGAAAAAAACATGTTTACAGCCTGGTTCAAAAGATGATTTTGGTTTATATAGCTAATTTTGCCCTTCATGACAACTGTGAGGGGGTGAATTTATTTATAACTAATCTGTTTAAATTATAGTAAGCCTTAAAGTTCTGCGTAATTAAGGGTGTGGCCACTTGAGTGGCAGGTGGATTGCCGCTGCTGTCACCACCGTCGAGCTAGGTGGGCGTGGTTTCAGCAACCAACTCCCCCCTCTTTGCCCATTTTCGATAATCCGGGAGTGACACGCGATGACGCGCTGCCGAGATGGCGACGGCCCGCTCCGCCCACTTTGAGCTTCAAAAACGCTCTTTAGAAACCTACGGGTGACGTCACGGACACTACGTCCATGTTTTTTTACAGTCTATGGCCGGGACACAGGGGGGCATCACAGTATCGTAAGGGGCGTAACATTTCCGTCACATTGAAGTATTCAGCTAATCACAACGCACTGGATAGCTGGCCAATCACAGCACACCTCGCTTTTCAGACCGATGAGCTTTGTAAAAATCGACGCGTTTCAGAAAGGCGGGGCATAGAGGAGAAACAATAATCTACAGTATGTGGAAAATAATGTGTTTTTTGAACCTTAAACCGCATAAACACATTGCATTACACCAAATACACAACATAATGTTCTTTTTAGCAACATCATATGACCCCTTTAACAGTTCTAATACGGACAGAAGTCTGTGTAATAATCAGATAGAACTGTTAAACAAAAGTATTTAAACGATTACTTTTATATAATTAGTAATAGAAAGGCAAACATTATAATACTTTCTCGTTTGCCATCAGCATTTATATCATTTAAACAAATCTTTGAATGACTAATGAACATTTAATTTCACAAACCTTGCAAACTTAGTCGAATCCAGTTGTGAGATCTTGTGAAGTGTACATGTGCATCCTGCATGATCGCGTGTGCTCTGCGTGAATGCGGACAGGAGGAGAGTCCTGCTTCACTGGAGACGTGCGATCGACAAACTTTAAACTTGTGATTTTAAATTATGCTGCGCCTTATGCATTTGCCCACTGCCATACTCATGTCATTTCCACTGTGTGCTGTATGTAAAACGAGTGTTACCTTGGCTTTATTTGAAAAAATATGATTCCCAATGCACACAAACTTCCCAGAATACTGAGTGCTCTGTTGGTTACAGTT